GTTCTTACTTGGGGGAACACGGAGGCTTGTGTGGTCTCTGTGGTCACAGGGACAGGGGTGGCTGGGGAGACCACCTCCACCTTCCGCTTCTGAAAGAGAGTCAAAGGGATTGGTCAGTGGGGGGGCTGCAAGGTCGCTGTACCCCCACTTTTAGTGCCCCCAGCCACTCCCCCAACTCCCATATCAGACACCGTCATCCGAGTGCAGCGATGCCTTGGTTTCTTGCAGCTGATTTGGAGGTGGGGGGCGTGTGTACTGGGGCTGGGGATACAGGGCCCCTTGCTGGGATGTGGCTGGCTCTGGGGTGGGATGAATCAGCCAGCTCTGGGGGGCGTTGGGGATATGGGGCTGCAGTGCGACTGGCCCTGGGGTGGGATGTGGCAGTAGCTGAGTAGAACAGAAGCAGCCAGCTCTTTGGGGGGCACTGGGGCTCAGGACACAGGGCCCCTCACTGGGATGCAGCTGGATCTGAGGTGGGGCATGGGAGCCTGGGGACATGGGGCTGAATGAGGCTGGCTCTGGGGTGGGCTGTGTCACCAGATGAGTAGAACAGAGGCAGCCTGGCTCTGCTGGGGGTGTCAGGCTGGGGATACAGGGCCTCTTGCTATGATGCGGCCAGCTCTGGGGAGGAGCAGGGTGACTGCTTAGAACAAGGAGAGAAGAGCTTAAAGCTGCAGGAGGTGGCTGGGATGCCTGAGTCCACTCAGAGCCCCTGGGGGGAGATAGGAGGGATCCTTCCAGGCACCTCCAGTGTTTCACAGATCCCATAGTGCAGGGAGAGTCCACCCCCAGCAGCACGCCACCTCGGCAACCCCTTCTAATTCAGCTAACCCCAGCGTGGTGCCCCCTGGTGCCACTGCAGGACAGCCCTGAACTGGGAAGGGGTGGAGAGGGGGCAGGGGGATGTGCCCTCACCCAGGGAACTCCATGGCTCTCTCTACAGCCTGGTGGGCATGGGCCCCAGCCCAGCCGTGCGGGGGGTGCCCGGATCATGCCGCGGGGGCGGGGGGAGGTTACCGTGTTGCGGTGGGCCGGCTGGCCGCAGGAGCTGGATGCGAGCGGCTGGCTGGCCTCCTCTGGGACGGCCTCCCGCTCCCGGGGCACGTTAAAGCGGAGGGTTATCTGCACCGGAATGGGCAGCGATTTGCCGCTGGCCGGGGCCGAGGCCGGCTGTAGAGACAGATCCAGGCTCTTCCTCTGGGTGGGGAGGAAGATGGTGGGGGGCGGTTACCAACACTCGGGGCGGGGGGAGGTGACACAGGGGACTCTTATCCGAGGCGTGCAGGAGACACCCCCCACAGTGGATCTGTCCCCTCCCACACCGCTGGCCAGGTCCCGTGGGATGGTCTTACCACGTCGTGGAGGGGGTTGGGGGTGGGTGGGGGGAAGGAAGCTGGGGTTAGGGGTTGCCTGTGATGGGAAGGGGGTACCACTGGTGGCAGCCAACACCCCCAGGATCAGTCCTGGATTAAACCCCCACCACCTTATCTCCGCCCCTGCCCATCAGTGCTTCCAGATCAGGGCCCCTGCCCTTCCCCAGCTGGTGCCAGTGCCCCCAAGGGACAAGCCCTGCCCCAGCCCCCCATGCAGTCCCCAGCCTTGGCTGCTCTTGCCCCAGTCTCCGTCCCCTGCCCCCACCCCTGGACTCACAGTCAATGTAGTGCACGTAGAAAAGCTTCCGCCCGCTGATGTCCTTCACGCTGAGGATCTCAGCCAGGGCTGCGGGAGGAATGAAGACTCCTTCAGGATGGGTAGAGACGCGCCACTGCCCTTTGTCCCACAGGTCCAGAGTGGGGAGAGAACCCAGGTGTCCGGGCTCCCCACACCCTCCTGCTCTAACCCCCAGCCCACGCTCCCCTCCCAGAGTGGGGCAAGAACCCAGGCATCCATCAACCCTGTTCCCTTAGTCTCTGCAAGTCACTGTCACGTGGGATCACTACTGGGCTGGATCCAGAGATGCTCCAGTTAGTGGCTATGACTGGGGTCAGTTTGGGAGCTGGAGAACCCCCACCCCCCTTCCAGGGAGCTGAGAGGCAGCTGAGGAGACCTGGTTGACACCTCAGCTCTGGGTAAATCGGCCCAGTCTGAGCCGTAGCCAGCGTGGCTTCATCTGGGCCATACACCTTCACGCCGGCCCTGGCCTGGGTCAGAAGACCTGCCACAGACCGGGCCAGGCCCTACGTGTCCATCTTGCCCAGTCCCCTGCATCCTCTGGCAGCATAGACTGGATGGCTTTCAGGGTGTTTCACTGCTACTGTGGTCCCAGGTCACTGCCCCGAGGAAGGGACTTGGTGTGGATGGAATCAGCTTGATCAAAAGGGATTGCAGCAAACAACAAACAAAGCCAGGGGATGCCAGAGGAGATGGAGCTCCCTTCTCCTAGCACAGTTTCCTCCAGCTGGCGCTGGACCCCCCAGAGCTCCCCCATCTTCGGCTGGGGTGCTCAGAGCTTTTCAGTGTCTGCAGTGTATCTTTCTTGCTGCTCAGGCCCGACAGCCATGAGCGTCTCCCTGGCAAGGGGAAGCTGGAAGCTGTTCCATAGAGGCTTCATCCAGCCATGGCCACAGGGTTTACATGGAGATGGAGAAGACCAGGGGAGGAATAATCCCACCGTCCAGAGTTTGCAGAGTTTCTGACTCTAAGGATGAAGGTTCCCTCCGTTGGCTAGCCCAGCCAGATGTGGGGTTTCCTTGTACTGGTGGCGGGGGCTGTCGGAGATGGGAGTCCGGCTGATGGGAGACCCATCAATGTGCCTGGAACAATTGTTCCAACCTTCCTTGCTTCGTCTTTGGGGAAGGTTGTGAGGAATGTGAGCCAACAGCTGCTAGGTGGCCAGCAGGGACCCTGCAATGAGGGACCCAACCGTGCCGCTCCAGATGGATCCAAGCAGTAGTTCAACCTGTGCCTTCCTGGTTCTCTAGAGGCAGGACCGTTGGCAAAGCTCTTGGGGGCTGGTCCTGCTCTGAGCAGGGGCTGGACTAGATGTGACCTCCTGAGGCCCCTTCCAGCCCTCGTGTTTTAGGATTCTAAGGCTTCGCCTGGGGCAAATTCAAGCTGTCATTGGTGGCCATCCCTCGATTTAAGGATGAGCTCTGCCACGGTTCATGGACGGGTCTTGAGGTGGCTTAAGAGTGCAGTCCTTGAGCCACAGATCTGTCCGCAGATGTTGCAGACCTTTCTGCGGGGGAGAGCAGGCTGCAGGCTGGCGTTCCCCGCCTTTTCCTTCCTCCGCTTTCTCTCCTCTGCTTAGAAGGCAAGAAAATTTCCCTCAAAAGAGGCTGCCCCCAGGTGGAGGTTGCGATGCCACTGGAGACCATCAGCAGCCAGCTCCTCCCAGCTCTTGGTGCTGGCGCCCACTATCTGGAGGTTTGCCTTCAACATGTCCTCGTAGCGTTTCCTCTGGCCACCGCGAGATCTCAAGCCGTTACTGTTCCAGGAGTAGAGCACTCATTCTGGTAGTCGAGCGTCGGGTGTCTGCACAGTGTCCGGTCCAGCAAAGCTGGTGCTTGAGGATCACTGGCTCCATGCTGGGAACGTCGTGTGAGGATCTGGTCTTGAACTTTTGAAGGGGTGGTTCAGACCGGTGGGTCTCAACCGCATCAGACCCCTGGCTCCCCTCCGCACCCTCCTCCTCAGGCAAGGCTGAGTCTTTGCTTTCGCTCACCTCTTATGGAAAAATATCAGTGCAAATGTTGTGCTGCAAAGAACTCAGCAGGGCAGGAGGGACTGGATGCTCTGGGCTCCTCTTGGAGATCTCTGGGTTTCTCTGGTGAATCGTGTCAGCTGTTGGGCACAGACCAGTACTAATACTGCGCAGCTTCCTCGAAAGGGTCTTGCAGCACCCTGCTGCCGCTCGGGTGAGAATCACGGTGTTGGACAAACCAGGATGGTTCAGCCAGGGCTGGTGTTGCCTGGGGCAGGGGGCTGGGCTGGATGCAATCTTCTGAGCAGCTGGCCCAGCCTGATTTCTTCTCTGCTCAAGATGGGACCAGGGAGAAACAGGTGCTTTCTCTGTTCTGGCAATTACATTTTTCCTGGACTGAACTGAGAGTCAGGAGATGGGTCAGAAACAGCTTTGGGGCACATGAATGGTCGGGTCAGAAGCATCCTCCAACGTCTCTTGCTTCTTGTGTGTTCCCTGGACTATTGTGGCAACAGGAAAAATGCTCTGTTTAGCCGTCACTGGGAAACAACCCTCCTCCCAGAGGAACTCGGGCTTATCCCAGTTCTGTAGGCCAAGCCAGCGGTCCTCTGGAGCCGTTGTTCTGTTCTTCCAACAGATCGCACTGACTAACGTTGGACAACAAAGCTGAATGCATCATAAGCTGTGCAGGAGCCAGTAGCGAGCTTTTGCTGCAGCCAAAGCCATTAGCCTCCCGGGTTGTATTAACAAGAAGGTCGCTTGCAACTCCAGTGATTCTTTCACTCTGTACAGCCCTGGGGAGGCATCACCTGAAGTCCTATGTCCAGTTTTGGGCCCTGCACTTCAAGAAGGTGGACAGATTGAAAGGAGCCCAGCACAGAGCAACACAGATGAGGAGCAGCCTGGGAAGCGGGACTGATGAGGAAAGGCTGGAAATACTCAGGGGATCAAGGCTGCAGAAGAGAAGACTGAGGGGGGATTTGATCACAGGCTTCAAACCCCCAAATGATGATGAGAAAGAGGATGAAGATGACTCTCTCTCTGTGGTCACAAGGAAGGGGACTAGCAGCAACTTCCTCAAGCTGCAGCAGTGGAAACTGGGGTAGGGGAGGAGGAAGAACCTTCTGATTCTAAGGGGAGTTGAGCATTGGACCAGGCTGCCCAGAGAGGTGGGGGAGTCTCCATCTCTGGAGATCACCAAGAGAAAGTTGGATGCACTTGGCTGGATTAGGATTGTCCCCGACTAAACCAGCCGGAGCCGGGGGCTGGACCAGATAACTGGTGAGGCACCTTCCAGCCTGACTTCCCTACAGTCGTATACTAAATAATGTGCGTGCAGTTGAGTTTATTATAAATGAAGGTACTTGGAGCCAGGACTCCTAGGTTTCGTCCCAGCTGAGAGTGGTGTGGCGTTCAGTAGCCTAAAGTAGGGGGCCTGGGAGCTAAGATACCAGGGTTCTAGCCCAGCTCTGGGACAGATGTAGAGTCTGGTGTGATGGAGCAGTTAGGAGCCGGGAGCCTGGCTACCTGCATTCAACTCTAGTTCTAGAAAAAGATGTGGGGTGAATGGGGGATTAGGGGTTAGGACTCCTGGGAGTGGAGTGGGGGTTTTCAGCAGGTTAGAGCTGGAAGCCCAGGATGCCTGGGTTCTAGTCCCAGCTGAAGGAAGGTGAAGACTGTTAGCAGGCAGGGTAGATACGCACCTTTATGGACTAACTAAATACACACAGACGATATATAGAATGTACGTGTGAATCTATATGATGGGTGTGCTTGTATATGTCAATGATTTGTGTATAACTATACATATGATACATTAAATCTGTGTGTGTGTGTGTGTGTGTATACCATATAAATATATACTTACACATGCATAGTAGATACAATATAGGTGTGTGTATATCTATTTATATATAATATAAATACATGTGTACACATATACTATATAAATGATACATACACGTGCGTGTATATATAATAATGATGATATATAATATATAATGATGATGATGATGATGAAGATGGTGATAATATGATGTGTAGGTGTATGATCACAAACTTTTTTGAATCCAAGTTCACTTCATCAGACATTTAAGGGCTACTCGGCACAGTAGTACCCCTGGACCTGATAAGAGCACCGAGGACTCCTGGGTGCTCGTTCCAGCTCGGGGAGGGGACGAGTGGCCTGGAACCCAGTGCTCAGATGTGGTCGGCAGGCCAGCGTTCCTCAACCCGTGGGTCACGACGCAAGAGCGGGTTGCAAGAATAGATGACGGGTTGTACGTGAACAAACTTTAAAAATGGAAAAACGTGGGAAACCGGGGTTTTTCCCTTGCAGGCTGGCACATTTCCAGCCTGCCAGGGGCCGCTTGGCCCCCCCCCACCCCACAC